TTTTTTAAACAATAGATTTTATAACAATAAACACATAATTACATTTACCTCGATAACCGAAAAAGAGAGGCCTAGTGAACGGATTGAAGGTAGCCTATAAAACACACTCCCCAATGGGAGAATATCCAATCTCCAGTGGGATAATACACAGTCCTCGGGAGAATACGCACTCCTCAATGGGGGAAGAAAAATACAAACGTACACTAACAAAAAAAACAAAAAAACAAAAATACGAAACGTGTACTCATCAAGCTCAAGCATCGGGAGCACGTGCGTAGGCAAACTAAACTCCTCCACATGGTCACGATCCTCAATAATACGAAACGACGACCCAAAAGACATAGGAACCACATCATACTCATCAATCAACGCACACCTCAGGTCCATGACATCACATAAGGGCTCAAAATTCTCCTCAACTATATCCACAACATCATGATCTACCACATTCTCCTCCTCAATATCATCCTCCCGAGCACTATCAACACCGTTCGACACAATCGAATCCTCAAATGAATTCTCTCCCATCCCATACACCATATCAACACTCGATTCTACATGCTCACTCTCAACAATAGAATTCGAACTCAAAGGAAAATCACCGGGAGAAAGAGTTGACGTACCTAGAGTGGGTGGCACGTAGGGATGGCAGCGGTTCGGTTTCGGTTCGGATATCCGCGGTTTTTGGTTCTGCGGTTTTCGGTTTTGGTTCTCAAATTTCACCCACGGTTTTGCGGTTTCGGGTACCCAAAAGTCTTCGGTTTTGGTGCGGATCCTATATTTCGCCCGTGGTGCTCCGTTGGGTGCCCAAAATAGACGGCCCATCAAAAAGCCCACTAAAAACCCTAGCTATATAAGTGGAAATTTCCTCTCCCTCTTATCCTCTCCCCGTCTCCCGTGATGGCTTGGCTTAGCTATGTACTCTACTACCTTTATGGCTTGTACTGTACGTTGGTACTTGCTAATTTGTGACTGGTTGCCTGGTACTCTCTAAGTTATCATGTTTTATGTTGTTGTATTTGGTGTTTTATTATAATATTTTTGGTTTTTTGGGTATCCGTTTGGTTTTTGGGTATCCGCGTGTTTTGGTTTTGGTGAAGGATTTTCACCCGAAACAGTTTTGGTTTTGGTTTTGGTTTTTAAGTTTGGATTTTGGTTTTGGGTGCCCTGAGGTTCCATCCGATCCGAACCCGAACCGCTGCCATCCTTAGTGGCACGGCCGAATCATCAAGAGAAGATATTTCATTAACAAGAAAATCGTCGATGTCCTCACTCGTGTCGAGAGGTTGAGTTTCGTCGTATACGAGAGTGAGGCCCATCTCTTTCAAGAAGGCAAACCGATCCACCATAGCTCGAAATTCACCTTCTAACCGAGTGCTCTCTCGAATAACCCTCGCCGATAGAGAATAATATCTACCAAGCGGAATGTGAGATGTGTCCAAATCAAAGAAAGAGACCACGGTGGAGTAGAACTTTGTGAGTGTGATTTGAAGAACGGATGGAATGGGGATGCTCTTCCAACTATGAAAATCCTCAATGATCGACATGAGGCTTGCAAGTGCCTCTTGAGTGCTCGCCAAAACTTCTCGGTGACGCTCGGAAGGCACAACCGTTGATGGAATTGAAGCTTCGGTCCTCGGTGTACAAGGTTGGCCAACCGATAGGTGCTCAAATGATGGAGAGGATGGAACATGGGATTCGGTTTTTTCTTTTTCGGATGTGGGAGCCATTGAAGCGCGAAGGGATCGATTGCACTCCTCTAAATGCTCCATGATCTCGTCTAAATTGACTCGAGAAGCTTCTCGAGTTGGCTTGGGAGGAGATTTCTCTTCATAATAGACGGGAGGCGGTGGATAGTGTTCGTTCCATTTTTGTCATGCTTTCCTTGTTTATTTTGCATTTTTTTTTTTTTTTCATTCTAGGTTATTTTCTTTGGTTCTTGGTCCATTTTGTGACGTGTCGTGTGTTTTCTTTATTTTGCTCATTTTTTATTTTTCTTGTTTCTTTTTTCCATTTTTCTGCGTTTTTCTTGTCGGTGGTGATGTGCAGGATAGGTGGTTCGGTTAGGAAGTGACCATGCGAGGATAATTATCTAGACAGATGAGTTGGGGTCGAGTAGGAAAAGACGGAATCCAATTCCGAGTCCGTATGCGTGGATACGAGCCCGGAAATCACAGCCGTGTCACAGAAATCCTTCACCGCGGCCCGCGACGGTATTCCCGCGGCCGCGGTGAACAAATCATGTCCAGCGCCCAGTTTTCTTCACCGCGGCCGCGGAGGAGGAAGTCGCGGCCGCGGGACATGTCGCGGCCGCGGACCATTCCTTCACCGCGGCCCGCGAGCTTGTCCGCAGCCGCGGAACGCGCGATTTCAGATTTTAAAACAGCAGATTTCTTTTGAAACGTATTATTCATGTTTTGATCTAGGTTTTCGAAGTTCTTGGTATTTTTCACCCAAAACTCATACTTTCTCTTGATTTTGATTTTGGAACTCAATCTTGGAGAGGAAAACTCCGAGATTCGACCTTAGATTCGACTTGTTCTTATTTTCGACATTGAACTCATTAATCGTAAGCTTTTGTTTCGTTTTCTTAATAATTGAGATGACTTGGATTGTTATGAATTTTGATGTTGAATGCATGATGAGTAGCTAAATCCATTAGCTAGGGTTAGGGGAAGATCGTTCTGGTTCGATTTCGTTTATATGCATGATAATTGCTCAATCTTCTCGTGTTATGCTTAGCCTAGGGTTTTGATGCTTGATCACCATCTTTATCTAATTAATCAATTTTAGAACTGAAAAGGGAGAAATCGTTCGATCTAGGCTCGTTAGGAATAAGCTTGTTCGTAATAGTATTGCTTTTGTGTTGATTGTTTCAAGAATTGCTCGTTTATGTCTATCCTCTTGTTACGAAGAGTTATTGAGGATAGACCTCTAGATGAGTAGTTTAGCGAGACATTTAGCCGAGCTCTTG